TTGTTGCCCATATGATCTATGTTTCTGTGCTGAAAAGGTAATTCCTGAAAGGCATGTTTCGTGCCTCCCCAAAGTGTTTGTGTCAATAATTCTAAGTCCGTGCCTACCTAGAAGAGTTGTACTGGACTCTTGGAAAGGAGCCCTGTTTTTTATCTGATGTGTACTAAATCATATCAGATACTCTGATTTGAGGCTATAGATCAATCATTTCAAACAAGTTACCTTCACCTTTACAAACTGCAAATATTTACTGATTAAATTTGATTGACTTAATACATAACATGGCTTAGTACACAACATGAGTCTTGTGCTGGTGACAATCACAAAGCCTTTTGAAATTTCTGGGCTCCTACCTGGACAGATTGGGGCCAGGGTAAGGGATGTATGGAGAGGAGAACTTGGTAGGTGGAAAGTTATACTATTTTGCGGAGCTTGTTTCTGTTCACCATTTAATAATTTAAAAACTATTTAATGATCGTCTTCAGGTTTACAGATAAAGTTTAACAAGTTAAATAAATGGGTAGATGGACTCCATAGCACCTCCCCATGAACTAATATGAGTCCTGGACATTTGCTCTCCTAGTGACTGAAGAGTACACTTGGATGATTGGGATTGTAATATCATCCTTGGCTGTGAAATAGTCATCTGAATGAACTGGACAGGAACAGATTCATGCTGTTGATTTCTGCATCACCAGAAAATACATGTTCCATGATAAATAAGCTTAACATAGATAAATAGACATCCTTACTGTGACTGTCTCCAAACTTGTAACAGGCCCTTGTGATTGTGAATCTCCAGTAGAGAAATGGAAAAACTCTATGCTGTAGCTTTTTCCAAATTTGACCAAAGAAATAGAGTATGTATGGCAAGGTGGGTCTTGTGGGAACATAGTTTGATGCTGATGAACAACTGAGTCAACCTGACTTCTTGTCACCCTTAGAATAATTGCAAACGATGTTCTATAAAGCTGTACTTAAATGCTGTAGGCTAACTCTCCAAATGAGTCTCCTTCACTGCCTTTTGCTCTTTCACTGCAGACAGGCCAGCTTGCTGTGTCTTGAGGATGTGGCCCTCGTTTCTATAGATAAGCCTATTTGCTTAGTTTGTAGATATCCACCTGTTTCAAACTCTTGTTACCTTCTCAAGAGCCTTCTGGCTGTTACTCTGCTTTATTATTGACCCCATCATTTATAAGTGCTTGATACTATTTATTTGTTTATGGTTTGTCTTTCTGATTTGAACGTAGATTCCTGGAGAACAGAAACTTAAGATAAAGTTCCTCACTGCAGCCTGTAGGAACTCAGAGCCCCGTAGGAACTCAGTAATTATTTTTGACAGAATGAGGGGCATCCACATCATTTATTTAAACTGGAAATGATTGTTGAGCCACTTAGAAGAAAATCTGTAACAAAGGCTTATTTTGGCATCAATATAAAATTTACCTTTTTGTTGTATAGCAAAGAGAACCATATTTGGGCTTCTAGAGGGAGTAGTTAATTATGTCTATTAAGGACAAGCCAATGCTTTTCCTTCTTTCAGGAACCCAGCTACTTACATTTTTTTTGCTACTGGTTCCATTGGGCTGGTGAAGGTTGCGGCATGAATGTTCCATTTTGATTTAGAGGAAAACTATAAAGCTAATTTACCTCAGTATTTACATAAATATATCCATTCAAGAGAAAATTCAGGCCAACCATAACTCTAAATAGACCATACTGTCCCTTGTGTCCTTGAAGCAATTGATATGAAATCTGTGGAATAAAAATTATTCTATTCTGTGGTCTGCCAGATTTCTGGGAGATTTGATATTCCCTCTTGTGTCTAAGGATCCAGAAGAAAAAAAAAATTCTCCAGTTTAGAAAATATGTTCTAAAAAAATATGCATCAGTTATTTTGTCAAAGGAAAGAACATTCTAATACTAATCTGAACTCTTTATTTAATAGTAGAGTAAAAATCATTTTCTTTTCTTCCTGTCTGATTTCTGCTTTCAACCGCATAATCCTTTGACAGTGTGATTCAGTAGTTTTTGACACATCTGGAAGTGGATGCTTTCTCATCCCTTTGAAAAACAGCTTTCCTAATCTGTTTTACTTTAGAGATAACGAGATCCCTCTGCAAAGCAGTTACTTTATTAAAAAAACACCCAACAAGCATAAAGGGCACATCTAAACCTACAGCCTCACGGTTATCAACTCTCAGGTTTTTCATAAATATCCAATAGGCCCTGTCAAGTTCAAAAACAGTCTCAGATGGAAATCCAGGGCTTGGTTAAGAAAAGCACAAATATTCAGCCCTTCATGTCCAGGAACAGACACAAAAGTGTATTTGATGCTAAGTTGGTCGTGCAAGAAATACATGAATGGTTTCTGCGTTGTTTAAAGAGAATTAAAGTGTCTGCTTTTGAAGTGTGAGTCAGAGCGAGGGGGACAATGTGAGAGTAGCAACAGCACCCCCCCCACAGGACAGCCACTGTGTGCACCAAGGCCCAGCAGCCCTCCTCCCATGGCCCCTGGGTGCAGGGCAACATTCACCATGCAGCTCTGAGGGTGGTAGGGTCTGCCCTAGGATTTTTCTCAGACTCTAGAATACACGATTCAGCATGGTATTTTCAGCCCTGAGAATTTAGGAAGTTACTATGGTCATCGACTTTCCACCAGGATCCAGAACACCAGCTTATGTGGTTTGACCACCAGGTGGCAAAAGTTGCCTGAGGAAAAAACTATACCAGCTGCTTTCAAGAAAAACAACAGAAGAAAACAAAACAAAGGGGGGAAAACCCTCAGGCTTACTAAGCTCCTGGTTTACTCCGAGATTCCATATTAACTCAAATAGACTTCTCTGTCATGTGTTTGTGTTCCCACAGGATGTACTAATGCCATAACAACTCAGGTTCACTTATTTGGTCTTTTTTTTATTTAAATATACATATTTTTTTGTGAACTAGGCTAATAGGGAGGTAAGGTAAGCATATTTATGACAGAGAAATAGGAAATTTACTCTATTGGGATGGAAGAGGAACAACAACAAAAACAACAAAAAACAACAAAATCATGATAAGAACCAGCATGAAGAAGGGACTATGAATACAGCCAAACTACTAGATGTATCACAAGAAGTTTCTGGGACCCAGGAAACTGCAAAACGGCATGGTGGAAGCACTGCTGGGCAGCCTGCCTGTCCTGACTTCCTATGTGTACGTGGCTGAACAAGTGACTTGACCTCTCTCAGTCTTGGTTTCCTCATCTACAGAACTAAGGTAACGAATCTTGCTCATAGGCTTGATGTTTATGTAGAATATTGACTAATGAATGTAAAAGAGTAGAGTGGCTGGATGGAGCAGGACACTTACTACATCAGTGTAATCTTCCCCTTCTGACCCCCTCGCTTGTCTACTTTACCAATAGGCAGGAGGCTTTTCCCTAACTGTGGTCCACTGATTACTTCCTCTTCTACTTTTTTTTGTTTTAAGAGAGAGAGAAAGAGAGAATTTCAATATTTATTTTTCATTTTTCAGCGTATACAACATCTTTGTTTGTATGTGGTGCTGAGGATCGAACCCAGGCCACAAGCATGCCAGGCGAGCGTGCTACCGCTTGAGCCACATCCCCAGCCCCTCCTCTTCTACTTTGACTGAGATAAAAGACAGTGGGAAGATAATGATCATTAGTCAGTACTGAGTTAATACCTATTCTCTGTGGCATCTACCACCTATTTTTCTAAATGTTCTTTAAAATGATGAAATGTAACACACACTGAAAATTGGGTAAGACATAAACATTTGATATAATGAACACTTACAAAGAAAAGTCCCAGCACTTCAAACATCTGATATGTATTCTTTAACAACCACCACCTCCTTAATAAGCTTCCACAGTAATTCTATTTTTTTTTTAACAGATTGTTTTGTGTCTTCTACATACACAGTATTTATAAATAATGACCATTTTGGTTTTTTTCCTCTTGAAACTCGACACTCGTGTTTCCTTTTCTTGCCTCACTGAGTGACTGGGTGAGGATTTTCAATCAGTATTGAATAAAAGTGTTTATGGTGGACATCCTCCTGATCGCAAAGGAGAGTCGTTTGACTTTTCATCTGGATATATAATGTTTATTGTCATCATTTTAAAAAATCACCCTTGTAAGACTGAGGAATTTTATTTTTATTGCTAGTTTGCTAAGGTTTTCTTTTCCCCCATAAATTGCTATGGACATTTTCTGCATCTATGGAACTAATTATATCATTTTTTTGTGCTAATGTGTCACCTGATAAACTACATAGATTTTACAATGTGCATATTTGCCTTCTATTCCTGTTATAAATATAACTTGTTTGTGAGGTATTATTATTATTGAGCATATTGCTGGGTCAGTTTTCCTATATTTTATTTTGGATTTTTGCATCTTCATTCCTGAATGAACTTGTTCTATAATTTCATTTGTTGCACTATCCTTGTGAATTTTATTACAAAATTTATGCTAACTTCATAAAATTACTATGGAAGGATACTATTTTTTTTGTTTTCTGAAATGATTTTCATTAAGAAAATTAGAATTATTTCTTTCTGAGAGTTTAGAATCACTTGTCAATGAGATCATTTAGACTTGGTGTATCCTCTTTGGGATGACTTTCAAATGATTAAATCATTTATTTAATTGATTCTAAGACTGCTCAGGTTTTCTATTTCTTCTTGGGTCATTGTTGGTAAGTTGTAGATTTCCTGTAATTTTTCCATTTCATTTTCAAATTTAGTGGGATAAAGGTGTTTATATCCTCTTTATATCTTTTTAATTTCTCTAGGATCTGGAGGAATCCATTTCTTTAGTTCTTATATGACTTTTACTTCTAATATAACTATTTCTGATAGTGTTATTTGTGTCTTCTCTTTTTTTGTGATCAGCCTTTTATAAAATAATTATTAATTTTATTAGTCTTTTCAAATCACCAAACTTTCTGTGTATTTTTCTGTTCTTCCTTATTTCATCTATGTTTGCTGTTTCATTGATTCACTCTTATTTTTATTGTTTTATTTTTTCTGCTTTATTTGTATTTATTTTGCGCATCCTTATCTAACTTGAGTGTGATGTTTAGATAGTTGATCTTTAGACTTCTTATAAAATATATTTGTTTAATGTTGTAAACTTCTCTTGGAGTTTTATTGCTTTAGCTGCACCCTGTGTGCTTTGATGTTCAATGTTTTCATTATCATTTAGTTTGAAATATTTCCTAATTTCCATTGTCACTTTTTCTTTGACCCAGGTGTTACATACAAGTGTATTTCTTAGTTTTGAGACATTTGGTGATTTTCTTATTATCTTTTTATAATCGATGCCCTCCATATTTTCACTATATTATGAGAACATATTCTATATGATTTGTGTCCTTGAAAATGTATTGAGATTTGCTTTATAGCTGAGTATATGGTTAATTAAAAAAAACACATACTATGACCTCTAAGAAGCTATGGTATTATGAAGGTCTTAGTGTAGGTATATAAGTAATTGTAATAAGAAGTAAGAAATGACAACTAATGCCATAAAGGTAGAGCCTATGAATTATGAGCATGGGAATAGTCAGAGAAGAATTTACACATGGGCATATCCAGCAAAGACACTTTGAAACTAATCATAATAATAAAAAAAGTCAGAACTCTTGGTGGAGAGTATTGTGGGTGAAGAGGCATTGAGATTGGAAAGAGCAGACATGGTAAAGGAAATAGGGCCTAGTTCTGTTTGGTAAGGGCACAGAATGAATGAGTGAACCAAAGGGCAATAGTGGAAAGATGTTTGGGGGAAAGTAATTTAGTATTGATGGAGAAACATGTAGAAAGGTTTGAGTTTTATTTTGAAAGTAGTAAAGAGACGTTGAAGGTTGTAAGCAGGGAAATAAGAGCTATGTTTTAGGTAGATTAATCTGACAGCTGGGTGTAAGGTAGCTCAGTACAAATCTAGCCTGATATTCTTCTACATTTCTAGACCTCCCAGGATGCGCTATTTATAATGATCCAGAACCTGAGCAAAAAGAGGGAGAGGAAGCGAGGTGATAACTCGAAAAGCATTAAATTTTATACCAAACTCTCTTCTAAGCATTTCATTATGTTATTATAATTTTAAAAATTAGCATACAATCCCAGTAACCCTGTGAAACACCAATGGTGAAAATTTCAATTATGTCCATTGCACTGAATTTACTAAAGGAAGAGAAGGCTAAGAGGCATTAAGATGTTCAAAAAGCAAAGGTCGAACTTACTGAATAATAACGATAAGTAACCTAATAACTTAAATACTTTGCCAACTGAAATGAACAGGCATTTAAATTGAAGCAATATATCTCGAAACTTCTTTTCTTGGTCATGTATTTTATGAGAGGGGCTACACACACGTTTTTTACTTACCCAAGGACTCTGCTTGCGGCTTCTCTGACAGCTCTCTATTAAAATCAAGGTCTGAGTACTTCATTGTGTTGGAGTCAGAATGTTGACTACGGTATGAGAATTCACTGCTCTGATCACCTTGCACAGATGTTGACCAATTCTGATCCTCATATATTTTTTTGTCTTTGATTTCAGCAGCTAGCCAGTGTGAAGAGCATTGGTTAGATACAATACTAGAAAAAAAGACTGACAAGCATAAAATGCAAGAATGCTTTTCATTCTTTCCAGGCACTGTACCTGTTTCCTGTTGGGCGTCTTGGGCATTCATTTTCAGGATATGTTGCTGCCTTATCTGCTTAGCAAATCTGGCAGGGTTGTCCCATGGTATGTTGAACTTCTCAACATCTGTCCCACACGCCATCCCAGAAGGCTTCAGTTTCCCTGCTTCATCAACCTCAGAGAGCTTCAGGCTCTCAAAAGTAAACACCTTGAAGGCTCGTTCTACTTCGCTCCAGCTCAAGACTTCTGTAAGAAAGCAGGACCCGTGCTTCTAGGAGTGCCCTTTATTGTACATAGTACAGCATGGGCAGAGAGACACAAATATACACCGGGCTGATAAGGGAGCCATGCCATGATGGGCACTGACCTAACTTAAAACTGGGCTCCACAAATCTGCATCAAGTATCAAAGGTGCCTAGTGATAAGAAAACTGAACAGTCAAGGTCTAATTAATCAAGGTAATACTCCCAAAATGCTTCTTTAGGTGGTTCATAGTGTGTGGACTTTTCAGGGTACCATATTGGTTGAATGGGTTTACAACTCATTTATTTGTTTATTTTTTTTGCAAAAGTACCCTTTGATGCTGTTGTAATTTAAGCCAGAGAAATCATTCACTCATGTCTAATATAGGCTATTACAGTCAGTAAGATTTCTTGTTATTTTAGATTCTGGGGAGGGTCTCCTCCCACCCACATGAATAGCTACTTTCCATAATTGCTCTTCAAAGTTTATCAACTTTCAATTGGCGTTAGTCATTGTGTATTTATTCCTTTGTGGCACGTGTTCATCCGTTTTCTCAACTGGTTATTGTATACTGGGGAGCCCTGCCATAGGTGCCTAAGATTCACAGAAGAACATGATTTTGTTCTCTCACTTTAAAAGTTCAAGACAGAAGGCTGAGAGGAAGGCATTAAGAATGGACAGAATTCCGTGAGGAAAAATTCAATATTATGGTAGATAAGTGTTTCAGAGGTTGCCTTCATTTTCTTCCCAACAGAGATGAAGACAGGGGCAGGGGTCCTTTTAAAAAATATGGCATGCATGGGGTGGGCTGGCAGTTTGAAGAGAGGCAAAAGAGTTACTGAATAAAGGAGAATTTGCTCATTCATTATGTCATAAATATTTTTGAGCACCTTCCAGGCGTCATTAACTAATAAAGCTGGTGAACAAAGGTGATGAACTCAAATACTACAGTGAATCTCACCAGTATGCATATCCACAAGCACTAATTTAAAAAAAAATAACCTATAAGTAAATAGAAAGATTGGTACAGTAGAGGGAAGGGAGGAAGGGAGGGAGAAGGCTAGGAAAAGGGGACTGGACTAGAGCAAAATTTTATTTCATGCTTTTATAATTATGTCAAAATGAATCCCGATGTTACATGTAACTAAAAATGACCAATGGAAAACAAAAGGAGGTGGTAGGTAGTTCAGATTTTACTCTCGAGGATACAGAGGTAAAAAAATCTTAGCGGGGGATGCACAAGAAAATTGATGAAAATTGAATCACAAGGATGAGAGAGAGATTAGCTCTCCTACACTTCCTGTGTTCTCCCTCTCTGACATCAATCACCTTTTAACCTTTTCAACTAGTGAAGAAGCAGCCAGTTTCTGATGCAGTACTGTGCTCCTATCATGTGGCCAGCTAGTCATGGGATTAAATGAAGAGATAAATGGGGATGCAAACTTCAACACTAGCAATCAAATGGAGGGGGCATAGTTTCCACTTAAGAGGTGGGGACCCAACTGAAGTGCTGTTTCTTCTTCTTTGCTCTTCATGTCTTCATGTCAGGGCATGGTTATAGTCTCACTGTGAATTTTCTAATCTACTACATAGGATCATTCAGTGGTTACCTTTTGCACTGGAATACACTGCTTTCATATTTTAATCTTAGTATATATATAATCAAAATATATATAATCTAATGCTACACACACACACTTATGTAGTCTAATGTTACGTCTGATCTATTGATTAGACTAGATATAAGGAGTTTCTTGATGAAATAAAATTATAAACTTCAAGTTTCCTTTGAGTACAAAAATTTTTCATTAATTGTGGGTGGCTGCAACCAGAGAATATGAGAATTCAAAGATGGATAACTCTGTATTGGGGCAAAGTTGCATGGTCAGGCTTGCCCTGCCCACTTCCCAATAACTACAATGCTATTGTAATCTTTTTGTGGTTTGCAATGATGATAAAGGGGTGCCACATTGAGACAGTGAAGGCAAGGATGGCATTCTCCTAGGGCAGGAATGTGGTTATCTTATGATGGGAGGTTTTTGTTTATTTTAAAAATTTCAAAAATATTTGAACTGTCACTTAAGTAGGATGGGATTACTACACCATCTCAATGACGTCAACAGGGAAATGGGGGAAGAAGTCAGGGAAGAGGAAGGAAAGATGTGAATCACTCTGGTTAAGGAAACGCAGTGGAAAGAAAACTTGGTGCATCAAATTGCAGAATGTTTTGCAACATGGCTGTGTTACCATTGCTGCTGAGGATATTCAAAGTAAAAAAGTTGTAGTCCATCAAAATATTCATCGTAGCCCCTGAAAGATCTTTAAATGATCAAAACACATTTTGCAAATAAGGATGTAATTTGTAGAGGCACACAGGACCACTAATTAAGATGAAGTTAAGAAGAAACAATGTACTCACCACTTGTGCAGAAGTGCATAAGTTCATGGATGGTAGCTAGGCGTTTAGTGCTGTTCCAGGGTGGAGGCAGAGGGAACTGAAGGAATTCCCACAGTGGCAACTTGGATTGCATCTCCTCCTCAATTTGAACTGGGTCAATACCCTTTTGGTCCTGCCAAAAAAAAAAAAAAAAAAACATGACAGAAGGCATTAAAATAAGCCATCAAGTGCCTTATGCATATGGAGAAGGCTAAACACGATACCTTCACTCTCGTTTATTTGGGAACAAGGGAAATCAGTGGTAATTGGGGAAGACAAACTTGGTATTTTGCTGAAGGTCACAAAAACTAGTTCTCACTTTGCCAGAAGTTCCTGGTACACAGAAATGACTGATCTTCATTTGCAGTGACAAACTGCCCAAGCCTCATATACATTCAACTCTCTCTTCTGAGATCCTTTTCTGGCTTCCACGGTTTTTCATACCAGCAGATATTTAAAGAAAATAACTATGAGGTTTTAATGTAATTTCGGTGGTAGTCACAATCAATTCAACAGTTAATTGTATTAATCTTTCTTTGATGATTTCTCCCTTCCCCATCTTTCTTTTCTGACATTCATACCTCGCCTGTTACCTAGTTTTGATGAAATTATCTAATTGATCCCTTCAGCTGGTGAATTTCAGGTGCACTTTTCAATCACCCTCTGGGCCACCTGATCCTTACCTTCAGTGCATATTTCCGGTGAGCATAAGCGTCGTGATAGTTCAGTAGGAGAGGGCCTTTGGGCACTGCTTTGGTTTCTCTTTCTTCTTCAGATAAGAATATTTCGTGGAGATTCTATTTAAATTGAAATATATACTCATTTAAGGAGAGACTATTTACTTTCCCAACATGTAAAAACTCGTTGGCTAACTCATGCCGCCTGACCTTTTTCTCCCTCTCGGAGAGGCAGAGAGAGGGCAGCATAGACACGATGTGAGCTGCGATCCGGTTGTCTAACCCATCTGCTCTGGGGGGTGGCCTCACCAGACTGGGAGGGACAAGATCCTTTTCAGTTGCCACGACCTATAGAAAAGAACCATTGGGAGGGATTGGCTGAACGGTCAACTCTTTACTGATAACTCCTGAATTTCCATTGCTCTTAGTGAGAGGAGGACTGTTCCTCACACTAAAGTACTAGTGACAACAGCAGGAAAGTGTCAGCGATTAACACAGTAAAAGGAAAAATGTTTACAGTCTATGCATTTAAGTTGACATGATTTTAATACTTGCATTAAAATAGATGACACAAAACACAAATGGTAAACACTAAACTTCAGCAGGAGTCAAAATAATGACAAAAATATTCATGCTTTCTCTTAAAGCACTGAAAACAGGACTAGTGCAACTTTGGATTTAATATTTAAATCCAAACTAACTGCCTTCCACATACTGCACAGGGCATCTTCATATCCATTAATTCACTTAACCCTCATAGCAATCTTGGTTAGATATTATTTTCTATTTTGTAGAGAACAAAAGTAGGGAGAATGAAGTTAGATGACTGGTCCAAGTCTAGGGCTATTGAATAGAGGAATTGGGGTTCAGGCCAAGTCCTCATTTTTTCTTCAAGAATAAAAAAGTGTAAGAAGATGATATCAGTAATGGATATTAGTCTCCTTTAGGTGGGGAGAGTGAGGTCTAGACAGATTAAATGCCTTGTTCAGTTTTACATGGAAATCAGGTAAGAGGTTGAAATGTACTCAAGATAGGTACCTAATGTATAGTCTCTTCACTATAATAATAAAAACAATAATAAAATTATTCTCATGATTTTACACCCCTACTAAGATTTCTCACTCAACCTTGGCAGTAGTGATATTTTGGACTAGATAATTATTATGGGGGCTGTCATGTGCCCTATAGAATGTGCAGCAGCATGGCTGGCCTCTACCCCTCTGAATCTCCAGACATTTCCAAATGTCCTGTGGGAGGCAAAATTACTCCCTACTGAGTTTTGTTAGTCTACTCGAGGTTAATAAAATAGTCTTGTTATTCTATTCTATTTTATTTTATTTTTATTTTTAATACTAGAGATTGAACTCAGGAGCACTTAACCACTGAACCACATCCCAAGTTTTTTTTTTTTTTTTTGACAAGGTCTCAGTAAGTTGCATAGGGCCTTGCTTGCTAAGTAACTGAAACCGACCTTGAACTTGTGATCCTTCTGCCTCAAACTCCCCAGTTGCTGGGATTATAGGCATGTGCCATTGCACCTGGCTCAGTATTCTTTACTAATTATAAACACTTTACTTTCAAGAATCACTATTTCCAGTCTCTATCTTCCACCTATCTTGTGGACCTGCTGCAACCTCAAAAGACCAATCAGAACTGTTCCGCGTTTAAAATGGTAAAATCTAATGTCTGTTCCTGTAAAATGCCAATCTCGCCGCTCTTATACTTCAACTTTTTCATTCTCTATTAAGAAGGCTTTACTCATTCGACACGTACCTAATGCCTACTGGGAGCCTTCCATGTGTTAGTCACTGAGCTCATTATCTTTCCTCTGTGTTATCGGGAACATAGTAATATTGAATACAACAACAATGACTATGGTGGGGCTGGGGTTGTGGCTCAGTGGTAGAGCGCTTGCCTAGCAAGTGCAAGGTGTTGGGTTCAGTCCGCAGCACCACTAAAAATAAATAAGTAAAATAAAGGTAAAAAAAAAGCTTTCAAAATATTTTTTTTTAAAAAAAGAAAAGAATGACTATGGTAAATGAAACTATGATACTGTGAGCTCTTCAGAGTTTTTTAAAATAAATTTATTGACATAATAAAACTGTAGTCATACAAAAAAACATTATGGGGTGATAAAGGCAAATATTAGTGTGATTGATTAGAAAAGTAAGGTAGTCAATAAACAGAAAACTGTATAGTAGAGGTGACAACAGTGACAGGGTCTGAAAAGACTTTAAAATAAACATTGAACTAAGAACAAGCCTGGAAAACTGTGCAAAAATTTAGAGAATTTACAAGTTAGAAATCTTATTCCTCAAACAAAACTTCAATAGCAGACCCGAAATTAAGGTAGGAAATAAATAGGAAGTTAAGGTAGATTTCCAAAAGGATAAATTAAAAGAAAACTTAATGAGAATAATTCTAATATTCCAACATCTATCCAGTTATAATTAGGGTAAGTAGGAGAAACAATATTTGAAGGTACAATTGAAGGTTTATTTTCAGCATCCACTCACTAATTCAACAACACATACTCAATGCCGACTAGGAATTAAGTGTGGTTATTGTGTGCTGGGCACACAGCAATGACTGAGACCACACTAGGCTCCTGCTGACATAGAGTGTGCATGCTATTGGGAGGAAAGAGGCAAGAAACAGGTCAATAAATAGATATTTTAAAAGGCTAATAAATACATTTTAATTACAATAGTTTAAATAAAACAAAGTACTGCGATGGAGAGTGCTGTGTGTGTGTGTGTGTGTGTGTGTGTGTGTATATATATATATATATATATATATATATGAACTTCTGTAAATCAGGTGCTCCAGTGTCACTTTCACCAGACAAAGAAGTTTAAAAGGTTAAGGAAAAATTAATATATCTGAGGAAATCCCCAAAGACCTACATTGATGAAAAATTGTGTGTGTGTGCGCGCCCATGTATGTACGTGTATGTGTGTTCATGTGGCATGCATGTGTTTGTGTGTCAGAGAAAGAGACATGGAGCAGGAGATGAGAAGAAGCTACAATGCAGAAACTAATTTTAAGGCCTTTATAGGATACTCTAAGAAATTGAATTTCACTTAGGATGTGATTAAAAAACAATTTAGAATTCCTTTAGATCATGTTGACAGGATGAAACAAACAAACAAAATCATAGTTTTTACTATTATTTGGATGTGGTTTGTCCAAATGTGTGTGTGTTACAGGCTTGGTTCTCAAGGTGGTGGGGCCTTTAACAGGCGGAGC